CTGAACAGACAGCTCTGACAAATAACAGCAGTTATGACAATTTTCTGCACAGCTTTAGCTTCCACCGTGGAATGCCTTACAGTCAGCTTGTGTATGTTTTAAGACACTGCTTGCAAACGAATCTGTCATAAAAAACAAATACTTTTTATGCAATCACACTTGTTATGTATGATATTAACTTCTGTTTATTATGGCTGCTCTATCCTAAATCTAACCATACATCAGTCTATTCTACTCTGTCCATTTTATCTTCTTTTACAGCAGCTTTGTTTTAAAATCCCTCTGGCTCAATGGGGTGCCTATAAAAGCTCTGCTTTTCAGATTTCATTAGTCTCATTACTTATTCTCCCGCTGTCTTCCTCTTCTGTCTTGGATACATCGATCTTTTGATTCAGAAAACCCTTCCCCTACCTCTCCTTATCCTGACGGCAGCAAAACCGTAACAGTAAAAGGGAAAAGAAAGTCAGTTTGTCAAATGATCTTTCTTTCATCTTTCACAGAACATTTACAAAGCTTCCCTACTGATTATTTTTCTTACAAAGACAACAGGCACTAGTTTCCATTCAAACAGCCTTCTGACGAGCCTCAACTGCAAAACATTCAACATCGCCAAAATACTTTGGAAGAGCTGGAGCTACAGACAGAGCTAAAATGTGCTCAACTTTGTAATGGCAGTGGAACTGGAAGAAAGTTTTGCCTTGGCAATCTCTGTAACACATTATAAGCTTCAAGAGTATTTGTCTGGAAGGACAGAGTCACAGCCATCAAATAATCGTCTCCTCTGATGGTAATATAATCTGTATTTGTTTGTTCTTTAATAGCATTCAAGAAGAATCAGATTTTTAGACAACTGTGTTACAGACTTTAAATACTTAAATAGGGAAATAATATTCAGAAATATCACATGTAAGTAATTATAAACAATAAGCTGAAATACAGCAAATATGTACATACTTTAAGTAACTTTAAGTCTACTATACTTTTTTAAAATGTATTCTTATACTTCTTAGTGAAATGTTAATACATTGTAAGTTCACTGGAAAATAAAACTAAGTGGAAGCTAGAGGTTAGGAAAACTTAGCTTTTGAGAGACCTAAATTAGATGGTCTTTATCTCTGTCTCTGTCCCTACGGTTTCTTCCTTGTACACAGAACAACTCAAAAAGGATTGCATCTTCTGGCTTGGCAGCTGATTGACACAGAAGCCTTCCCTATCAAAAGCTGAACTGAGAAAAAACAGACATTTCTTCTAAGCCACTAAATAGGCAGCATCAGAATCACTCCTAACTTAGCTGAATTTCAACTGTCTGCCTAAAAGTGAAAGCTTTATG